CGAAATGGCTTGTGGAACGAATTAATTTCATAAGTATAGGTACCATTGTATGCTGCTAAATGTATAAATGTAATGCAATTTGCAAGAGAAGCAGCATAATGTCTACAGTTTGAAATGTTTCATTTGTTTTCATTCTATATTTTAAACATGAAGCAATAAAAATAACATAAAAACAACAACAACCTACAACAGAGAAAGAAAGAAGGAAGGAAGGAAGGAAGGAAGGAAGGAAGGAAGGAAGGAAGGAAGGAAAGATGAAAGAAGTGCCATGGTTGGAATCAGAGGGTATCCAGCAAAACACATTTTTACATCAAAACACTAGGATTGTAAGCAATATGTGCAAATATCCTTACCAAGATAACAAAAAGTGAGCATGCTTGCCAAAATCCCATAGTGAAGCCATTAAAAGTGGGTGTAGAAGCACATGTACAAGTGCAGTTCTCTCATGACTTCATAAAGGAAAGGAAAAATATAGGATTGTTCATACCGTATTGGACTGAACCACTGGTATGGCTTGTGGGAAGTAAAAAGAAGACAGTGTCTTATTTCCTTGGTTATGTAGAATTTCATTTATCACTTCATTTCCATCTGTTCACAAAATAGCATTGTTCTGCTGTAGTAAAATGTTCCTGTGTGGAAGCATCCCAGGAGTGCCTTTTGCCCGTTTCAGTTTGTATGGCAGCTGCTCTTCTTCCTAGAAAACAAGGAACTAGCTAATGTTTTCTATGTTCTGTAATCTTTACTACCACAATGTATGTGCAGCTAACGCTGAAAACTGCCCAGAAGTGAAATTCAGGACTGAGTAATACCTTTGCTGGATTACTGAAATATCCCAAACATGACAAGTGTTTGAGTTCTCCTAGAGGACATATGATGATAAAAAAAGTTTGGGGATTGTGAAGAAGCATGACATCCCCCCCTCCATTTGTGACATTTTCAGCACTCCAATAATGGCATTGTTCAACCCTGAATTTTGTTTTGATTTATGGATCACACAAATTCTTCCAAGTCTACCAATATTTGGACATGTCTTTGGACTATATGTAGTGTATATAAAGAATGCTTGCAAGTTTTCTTTCCCATAGTGAGTAATGTTGTTTCAGCACACTCTATTGACACAATGGTCAACTTCTGCAAGGTTTTTTGTTTTTTTAATTTCAGGACTTTTTTGTGAAAACAATTTGAGCACAAAAATTGATAGTATGATTTCTGCATTTAAGAAATTTATTTTCTTGCACAAAATTGTTTTTTGCACGTAGACTGAAAAATATGCTATATATGAATGGCCTTTTTGCACAAACAATGAGGAAGCTTTATGTGCAAAAACTGAACTCCTTTGTAGAATTGATTTTTTTGCACAAAGTTTTGAAATATGCAAAATTGTTGAAAAAATGTCCAAACTCTTTCCTGACCTTGCTCAGCATAGAGGGGAGAACTGTTGAAATGGTTTGTTTTTGCATGCAAGGATAGAATAAATGAGTTTTGCACTCAATTCCATTTCTGCAGATAAAACTTGATTTTCCTTTGAAGAACAGTTGGGCCTGTTTGTCCTCTTGCTGTAAATGTGTTCTAACATAATTTTAATGAATTAAACTGCCATAAGTTGGACTTAACTATTACGTTGGACTTAACCATTCACTTGTTTGGTTGTTGTGAAAGTTAGAATTCTGTTCTGACCAAACAATGATCTGTATATTCCCAAACCCACCGTGTAACTAGCATAGTCATCTCCCAACATGACCATTTCTATGTTGTCAGAGATCAGGGGGATCAACGAAGATGCATCCAGCTATTTTCCTATAACCTGACACACTTAAAGACATCACCCACAGGAATGTCCTGAGGACTCTTAGAGGTCCCTCGAATATCTATCTCAGCATGTCCAGCTACATGAAGACAGCTCAATGTGTCTTTGTTGAACCCCTTGCTGTCCAAGAACATGGATATGGTTGTGTTGATTGGGGGGAGTTGAAGGCAGTTATTACGGGGAGATACGTAGCTTCATGATACACATACGTCTCTCAGTGTAGGATTTCATGTTTTGTGAGGTGCTTTTGGAGCAGGACAGTTTAAAAATGGCCTGTAAATTTTAAAATGTTAAATAGGCTTTGTATAAAGTTTATAAGTACACTGATTCTAGATGTTTTAATTACAGTATGTGAATATGTGCCAGTTATTTGCTATTGCAGTCTGCACAGAACTCTGGGTTGTAAGCTTCTTTGTATTGTTTTAGTACTGCAAATGAAGGATAGGGTAAGATGGAATCCTGTTGGTTAGCCTGAACTAGAGTAGACCTGTTGAATCAGTTGTTGCATGGAGTGACAATATGTAGATGAATCCACTTAATTTAGTGGATCTACTCTCGTTGAGATTAACAAGAGGATTTAGACCACTGTATTTAATTAAAATATTAGCTTACAGTTGTAAACCGCTTAGAGACTACATGAAGCGGTATATAAATGAAGCTGCTATTGTTATTGTTAGGTCTTTTGTGACTTTTCTGCCTTGCCTTAAAACTGTATTTTCATCTCTTGTTTCTTCCAGTGTTAATTGCATATTGTTCTTAATATGCATATCTTAAAAATGTAAAACAACAAAAACAACAGCAATAACAACAAGTTAGTCTTAAAACCTGCTCCTGTATTCCTTGCATCCCCTCCCTTCCTCCTCCTTTTTTTTTTTTTAATGTTTTAGTTTTTGGTAGCTGTCCTATAGCTCCCTCTTTTGGTGACTAGATAGAACAGAAATAGTCTCTTTCCTTTTGAGAATCTGGTGTCATGTTATTTTATCTGACCACAAGGGGAGAAACTACATTTTTTCTCAAGTTCCTCTTTTGCCTGTTTTGTTTGTATGCTCCTTGTTAAATGGTATAAATGTTTATTACATTAAAAATCATACTGCCTTTTATTTTTCTCACCCATCCCCACAAGAACAATGGTAGTATAGTCAAGGGGATAACTAATATCATATTCAATAGCCAACATTCTATTCAAATCAATTTAAGGACATGTAAGATTTTTATATATAAATATTAATTTAACATTAATAAAGTATTAGGACTCTGGAGACCAGGTTTCAAATCCTCATTTGGCTATGGAAAACCAATGATCTTTGACAAGTCACACACTCTCACTCTCAGAGGACAGCAAAGGCAAAACCCTTTGGAACAAATCTTGCCAAGAAAACTCTGTGATAGCTTTGCTTTAGGGTTACCATAAATCAGAAATGACTTGACAGTACACAACAGCAGCAGCAAGAAGGAAGGAATTTATTGGTTCAGTAAGAATGGATTTTATTTGTTAATAATGAGAAATATGTATAACAAAAATTAATTAAAAATTGAAAATATATATGAATATTTCATGTATTTTTTTCATTCTAGATTTCTGCTAATTTTTCCCCCTTATGCCACATCCATTGGGTGTTTGTGTCCCTGCAACACTTGCCCAACCTGAAAAATGACCCCAGCCTCATGGATGTGGTCCACTCCTAACCTAATCTAATCCTCCTAACTTCCAGTTAGATAGAGAAAATTGATGTACTACAAAGGCTTACATACAAAGTGTATATCTATTTGCATTTCTATATGTCTATGCTTACACGCAAAGTGCATATCTATTTGTATCTTCAGTTGGTGCGTAGATTAATGATTCAGTGATGACAAAAATAAATATATTTTTCAGTAAAGAGTATCAAAGTTCTTAATATATTATGAATTCCTTCCATCAGTAGGGAAACAATATTCTTGCATGTTTGCAGTTCCTACCACCTTCCATTGCACCCCATCCAACCCTACACAAATTAAAGCTGCTTTTACGTTTTAACATCGCTTTGTTGCCCTGAGCAATTTATTGTATCTCTAACAGTGCAGTCCTATACCTGTTTTTTCAGAAGTAAATCACAATTAATTCAATGGGGCATGTTGTTGTTGTTGTTGTTGTTGTTGTGTGCTTTCAAGTAATTTCTGA